ACCCAAAGAGAAAAAAAAAATAGCATAAAATATTTTAAAAAATTTAAATAAATACTTATTTTTTATTTTATTCAATCTAATTTTTATATTTTATTTTAAATTAAATAAATTTTTATAATTTAATAATTAAATAATTATTATTAATTAAAACATTACTTATCAATTTTTATTAAATAATATGTTAATATGTCATAGATAATGATAATGTAATTTAGGTCAATATTATATTAATTTCACATATTATCATTACGTTAATTCTACATGTTATAATACAGGAAAAAATTTCTAGATCTTATAAGAGGAATGTTTATGGCAATTTTTCTTATGGTTTTGGAGTGGTCTCTTCTCTATATTTACAGGCTTTATTCTCTACAAAATTGGCCAACAAAAAAAGGAAAGAAAATGTTCTTGCACGAGGATCAACCAGTTGATAAAATCATTAACCAAAACTTTAACCAAAGTACACAAAGTTAGTTCATTTTAGCTCATTTTAGGATTTAATCAACGCAACAAATGACTTAATCATGGACGGAATATGATTTGTTCATAAATGTTGTATGAAATAAATTTCTTTTTTTCATTTATACGATTAAATGGAATAATTCGAATAATTTACTTACTCTTTCAGCAGCATATAATAATTTTAAGGGAAAAAAAATGGTAAGAAGCATGCACGATGCAAAATGGAAGAGCATAATTAGAGATAATTGAAGCACTTGATGCTTAGCTTTTCCCTTCAATCCTTACTGTTTACTCAACAACACTTGCAATAGTAAATTCATTGTGAAAGATCAAAGTGGGTGGGTGGGGAGGAATTGTATTTGCTTAGAGGGGACCCTCAATCAATAAAAATCAAGTACTCAACATTTATTCTTTGACGCCTGCTTATATTACCATTATTACTCCTTCATCATCATCATCATCATCTCTCCCATTTTCCCTCCTCTGATCTGACAAGAAAACATTTTCTATCGGCAATCCACTGTAAGATCACATGGAAATTGTTCTCTCTTTTCACCTACTTATACAACCCTCTTAAACTATATGAAATGCCAACTACATTTTTACAGTTAACAATGGATTTAAAACGGTATATATAGGAGGAGGGTGATCAACGGTTCACCTAATACTTGACAATATCCTTATTTGAATAATTTCTTGGAATCATAAATACTTTGAACATGAAGCTAGCTATCAGTTGTTCCAAATCCAATAGGAAAATGGAGAACGCAAAGTTTTTGTTAATATAACTTTACATTAATGGTATCTCTCTTAATTTATATAACTTTGCAACATGGATTATTGCAAAGCAAATATTAATGTAATGTAACTCAATAATAACTTACTACGATATTATCCATGAAAGTTAATCTCTTTTTCTTTCTCCTAATTTTTATTTTATATTTTCTGGATGTGGCCTGGGAATTTGAACAGCTTTCTAATGTAATCATCACTAATTAGGATGGAAAGAGTATAAGAATTTAGATTACGGTAATCAAACATCATATGTGTAGCTAGGAGAGGAATAAATTATGTGAAGGGAATTGAAAATACGAACCTAATCATGTCATAATGCAATCATACACTTAAAGAGGTAATTTATATGGCAGCCTTGACTCATTATTTTAGTCCATCATACTTATTATTTATACTTGTTGAAGATCATTTTGACAAGGAGCAAATCTTGCTCGGACGCAGAAAAGCCTTGAATTGTTTAATTTAGGGGAATGGGTGGCCACAATAACTTATGGTGTTAGGTAAAAGCCTGCCCCAACGGGACTTGCCGGTTGATTGGTTCTTGTTCGGATATTACCCCACTTTTTAAGTTTGAATTGGGCAGATATTATCAAATGAAACTCGGGCCATGTAATGTTACTTGGAAAACATGTCCTTGAGACTAAGTATACCTTGGCGTTAAGTAAAACCATAGGCTGCTTTACTTCTTCTTGTGAACCGATCTATTTAAAGGCTTATTATGATACCCACATCCGATAAAAGGTGAAAAGTTGAGAAAAGGATTGGATTTGGTGGGGGTCTGTGTGTGTGTGTTTGTGTGTCTAATTATGAGATAATATTAAGCGTACACAAATCTAGACTTAGGCCCAAAGTGCAACAAAGGATGTTGCAGGCGACAGAATTATACAGAAACGAGCCTGGGTTTTGGTTATAGCTTAAGTGAGAGTCGAAGAAGGCAGCACATCACCCAAGCAAGATTTGCTTTTATCAGTTTGGGCTTTTGTAGAAGATTGCCCTCCGTGTATTAAAACTAAATTTCCCTTACTAATGTTATCAAACATTTGATATAATAATGAGAAAATTAAATGAAATCAAGCAAAAAGAATTCAGAGAATAGAATCCATGGGTGAGGGTGGAATTTGTGGCCAAAATGGGACAAACGTTACGTTTGGCTCCCCCAAGATTAACTAAATTCTTAGTTGCTGCAGGATGATATGGAGGCTAGAGTTTATCCTTTTGTATTTTGATTGCTTTTTATAAAAGAAATATGGGGTCAGGAGTGTTAATTAATAAGACTTACTTCTGGCATAATTTGGTGTCGCAGAATTCCGAATGGCAATTTTATAGTCCAAACCCCTAGATACTAACGTCTCTTCACGGGAAAGTTAACCATTAAATTCCCTGGCAATTCAAAATTTTGGAAAGAAAGGGCCTGAAGACCTCCCAATTGCAAACTCCCTTTGCACAAAACCTTTCTCATCCTTTCCTTGGCATGGACGACAACAGTGTGAAAGGAAAATGCCTGGAAACTGGAAAGCCAAACCAGCATCTTTACATGCAAATATTACTAACGAAGGAATACGAAAACCCAGAAAGACAGAATTGCTTTATGCAACCCCAGAAAGCCATACTTTTTCGCCTATCTTGGTACATGTATATATATGTTATGTTGTTTCCAATGTGATGATATATTAACCAAATTTAAGACCCCCAAAAAAAAAAACGTCTGAAAACAAAAAAGATCATGTCTCTAAGCCCACCTAGAGCAAGGGTCCAATGGCACAAATGGAGCAGCCCCCGAGAGAAACCACCGGCTTTACTGGTGCTATAATTGCCATCAAGCTGTCCGGATTGCCTCTACAAATCCTTCAGAGATTATCTGCCCTCGATGTTTTGGGCAGTTCGTTTGTGAGATGGAAATCAACAGGCCAAGAATGGTTGTTGATTTCACTGCTTTTGATCCCTCCCCTGAAGCCCGCCTGCTTGAAGCACTCTCTCTTATCCTGGATCCTCCTCCAATCAGGCTATTCCATCGTAATAATTCTGATAACCAAGAACCTCGAGGCTGGCCTTGGCTCAGGCGTCGGAGCAATTTACTAGACTCTGAAGCTGGAAATAGGCCCCCAGAGCGTCTTCATAGGCGTAGAAGCCGTAGTTCTGATGGAAGTGATAATAGAGAAGCAGAACATGATGCTCTACCTCATCGTCCAAGGACTTGGATTATTGTTAGACCCATGGGTCCTTTTCGTCCAGGCACTGCTGAACCAACTTTGCCACGAGAAAACCTTGTACGCCCTGGTCTTGATCCAAGAAACTTCTTTTTCGGACAAGGACTGAATGAGTTGATTGAGCAAATAACACAAAATGACCAGCCAGGTGCACCCCCAGCTCCAGAGTCAACAATCGATGCAATTCCAACTGTGAAGATCACGGACACGCACTTAAGTAATGACTCGCAATGTCCAGTTTGTAAGGAGGAATTCAAGGTTGGTGGAGAAGCAAGGGAGTTGCCTTGTAACCATATATACCATAATGATTGCATCGTGCCTTGGCTAAGGCTTCACAATTCCTGTCCTGTTTGCCGCCAAGAGTTACCGATTAGTAGTAATGAACCTTCTAGCAGTGAGTATTTGTCCGAACCTGAAAGTTCTCCCGAGGTTTCTTCCAGAGATGGCAGAAGATGTTTGAGGCTTAGGCAGATGGCTAGTAATTTGTGGCCTTTTCGTCGACGGTATCAGAGAATTAATCCACAGAGTGACAGATTTGGTGCTTCTCCTGGTAATTAGAATCGATTTATGTTTATTTCAATGATTTCATTTTATGCATTCAATATGATGTATACTCTGTGTTAACCTGTCGAATAAGACCGCCATCTCTTGGCTACTATAACCTCATATTTGATACAGATACACTTCCTTGTGTCTAAAGAACGCCTGACTTTAATTTTGTGAAGTACTTCCCTTCTGCAAAGATAGAAGAGATTTTATGCTCCGAAAACACTAGAAATCTTAAACGCAGAGAATAATTCTAATTGACCATGCAGCCATAGGTCAAATTAATATAATTAAATAACATAGGCTATATGGAGATGTAGTTTCTAATCTTGCCGTTCATGGACACTTCACTTGCTGCACTGAAATCCTCTTAATTCTTCCAGCAGTTGAATCAGGCTCGCATCGTTGCTGCATTCTTTAGCCTTTATATGCAGCTGTTGTTGCTAGTAGCAATTCATGTAAAACTTTGCTGTAAAAAATGCTTGCTAGTGACGTAAAGTGTATGAACTACCTAATGAAGGGCAGTGGGGAGGAGCAAGGGAAAGCTGTACAGCTGGTAATATTGCCCGTATGTCATTTCCCACTTACATATGTATTCAAGTTTGCTGTTTTATTATCCATGACACAAAAAATTTAAGAAGTAATTTATTCAGTTTAATTTCATTTGTTCAGCTTGCATCATGATTTTTAGGTGTATATCATGTCATTTTCTCTCATGAAGGCCGGCAGCTGCTACAATGGCTTTTCACTCTAGTCATATTCTAATGTAAATTGCAGCTCTCTAAAATCCCACAATGCTGCAGAAACAGTTTCATTATCTATCCCTTTGACTGTTCCGTCTTTATTGTTCAATCAAATACAAATGTGTGTGACTGCCACAATCATTTACCACGACAATAGTATTACTGCTAAAATTATTTTGAAGACAAGCAAATGTCAGTTAATAGCGACCCCAGAAACCACTCCAGTTCATAAAGTGCTCAATTGGCATTGAAAAATACAGGCAACTTTATCTGATTCTAAAAACAGGGTATACATAGTAAATGTTTTGATGAAGATAAAAACTATGAAAACAAAAGTCACGAGGAAAAATGACAACTCGTTTTCTCCTTTGGATTTTTGTTTTGGCTTCAAATTTTTTTCCGGAAAGCAAAATGGTCCAAGAAGGTTAAACCATCACAAACAAGTTCAAAGACGCTTAGGTTGATAGTGAGTACCAGCATAAAAACCTTCTGTATATGCTGTGTTCTTGAATATTGTCTGCAAAAGAAAGTCACCGTTTTGGTTAGAGTACAATTAAAATAGACATGGGACTCGTGGGCTGTATCACTTAATTGAATTAAATATATGTAGCCATACAAAATCTTTAACACCCTAACTGTTTCTTTGTGTTTATTAAAAGGAGTGGGAAAGAGACACAATGAATGCGTCGAATTTTTCATTTTCTTTTGGCAAAGGGAATAGTAAATACTAAATAATAAAGGAAATATTTAACTGTTATCACATTGTACTTACAGCAAGGTTCTTCAGATCTTCTCTGAGACATTTTTGAATATTGTTTACTACCTCAGTTCCAAGCTGTCCACCATGTTGCTTGATGGAATCCTCTGATATCTGTATTAGTTTCGAAAGTCTTAGGAAAAAAAACAACATCAAGGTTGACATTGACCAAAAGTATAACATTTAGCTTACGTCTGAAAGCAGTAAGGTAGATGTTTTATCCAGAAGCTCTTCCACAAATTTCCCAGCATCTGCAGAAGGAATTGATGGCTGCGCACCCTTAACTGGCTTCTCCTTAATATTTTGCACATTACCAGATGGCTTAACAGCTTTTGCTACATCCAGAGTAGAGAAAGGGTTATATTATTTAGAGTTCTAGACAAAATTGAATCCTATATCAGTCGGCGATCAACTGCTGACCTAGCATTATAGTTCTTCTCAAAGTTACAAGAGTAACAAGACAAACAATGATTTTTCATTTCCTACATGGAAAATGACACCTAGTAGGTTTCAGGGCATCGTAAGTTGACAACCATTAAATTTGGCATCTTTGCGCCCAAGTTGCCCTATGGATACTGATACACTCCACAGACTACGATGGCAGCTACTGCAAAAGATGTGCTAATCTGCATTTTGCCTATATCAAATTGCTGGTCTATAAGAATAAATGGTAGTCTAATCCTTATAACTCAAAACAGGTATGTCTTGGGATCAAATAGAAAGAGGGGAACACTGAACAAGATTTCAAGCATGTCAAAATACTGAACGCAATAGAGACTATTTTAATAAAATAAAGCAACAGATTATCTTAGTTTTAATGGTCCCAGAATTTTAGCATAGGAACAAAAATGAGGAATTTGTAACTTGGGCAAGAAAGTGAGAATCTTACAGGAGAGAATTAAGTGGTCAATAACAATTCTTTTAGATAAATTACCTGTAACTGCTGCAGACTTAGCACCCGCACTAACATCATTTCCAGTACAATCTTGTGAAGAAGGTGCTTTATCTGGAAGATCTGGCAGAACTGTAGAACCTGACGGAACAAAAGCAGCTAGATCGGGTGGTTGATCTTTCCCTACAGGAGGGTTAGCCTACCAATAATAAACTGATATTAGATCAGCTAATCTGACAAATCATTACTGTTGAAATGAGACACATTAAGGAAATTAAAAAAAATCACCTCTAGATCAACGTATGATGGGTCTCTCCCAATTGATTTGAGAAACTTGTCAAGACCATGGGCATTAAGAGCTGGGAGAATAAACTAATTAGGAGTTAGTCCAACCAGGAACCAAAAGAAATAAAGTTCAGAAATCAAGGTCTATGGATTGATATGACTAAGTTTCTTCATTGACTTCCAGTTACACAAAGCCATGGCCAAGGAAGCCAGTCTCCTTTTGTTTACCATGGGAGTTATACATCTCAATGACTAATTGCAGTAAGGTGGAGGACGGGAACATGTGAATTTAAAAGTGGAGGATGGGAACATGTGAACATTTCTTGTTGCAGTAAGGTGACAAAAAGTTGTATATTCTTCTTTTTCCAACTTACAGATTGACATGTCATTGGAAAGTGGGTGAAAAAAGCAACGCTCCTGAGTTTTGATTCCTTGATCCAACAACAGTGAGACATGTCTTCAAAAAAATGATAAAACAGAAAATTAACACTAGAAATACACTGAAGAAAACTGCCAAAAGAAAGCAAGTAATCTTTACAAATAACCTTTTAACTATAAGCATACACTAAATCATACTAGAATTTTAGCCTAATTATCATTAGCGCTACATACATCTCTCAAGTAGAAGCTTTTGCAGTGCTCTTTACATTATTTATAATCTTTTCACATATGCACAACCTCTTTCGTGCACACACAAATGAAAAAAAAAGAATAAATTAGCAAGAACAGTTTTTCAGTTTACTGAAAGATATTAAGATATCAATAAGAAAAAAAACTATCCAATCATCTCAATTTGAAGCGCATTTCTTGAGAAGAACAGGAAGAAGAAGACAGAAGTCCTTCAAATTTCACACAAACATCTTAACATGTGTATCCATGACTTAAGGTCCCTTGTGAATGAAATCCAACCACAGGTATTATTACACTCACATGAATGCATGTGCACCCTTGGGGACTCTACAAATTGAACACGCCAGGGTATCCCAATCACAACCAAAAGACAAACACAAGAATTCAAAGATTCAAGGACCTCCCTACTTATGTATGCAGCCAACTGAATTACCAGATCTTAAAAAAAATAATGCTACATGTATTGTTAACTAAAATGCAAGTAAAATTCAGAGCCTGAAGGAAATTAAACTTAAATGTGTACCTTGCTGATTCGTTTACTACAGCAAATGGAGTAACGCATCCAAGTGGCACCTTAAAAAGTACAAAAGAGAAGCAACATCATAAAAGATTAAATTATACCTTTGCCACCATATATATGACAATCATACTGAAAAACATGCTTAATACTGATTACCTAAAAACAATGTTCTTTAAGAAAAGGAAAACTGTAATACCATTTGATAAGCAGCTTGTCATAGTTCTTTAAATCCTTTTAAATAGGATGAAGGCATAATTTTTAAACAACAAACTATATTTTATAAAGGAAATAAGCAATTAGTGCAATCCATTCAAAAATTAGAGTAGCTTCAGTGGACGAAGAAATAAGCAGGCAAAGATGTCTATACTAAATCCATATACTTACTTGTAATACAATCTCGGGAAATTTTGCCATAAATAAGTTTAAACTAATATATACACGCACCTGAATTATCTCACCCAATGCCTCTTCTGGAGCCATTCTTAGACCCCCTTTTCCCAAACCAAGCCTCTGAGATAAAACTGCACAGCTTTGAAACCACACAAAACTCTCATTAACATCTCAAAATTACTTCAGATTAGGCATATTGACACTAACATGTGAGACTAATAAACTATTTTCACACATTATAAACAAAGATTATGGAAAGTCAAGTGCGGAAGAAAGTATGTACCTTTCAAATCTACTTTTGTATCCGCAAGAGCAGAAACAATATAGTACCTATGCTTTTTGTCCTGCATGGTTGGATAACCAATTGGGATCACTCAGAAAAATACCAATAGTAGATCAGGAACAAAGCCTGTAATCATTCAGCATAGACATGCAAGTAACAGTACAGAATCATATATCACACCTTCAAGAACAAATTTTTGCTCAGTGCACCTCCCATATTCCCAACGTATTTTGCCTGATTGAGAAAAATACTCTAGCTTTAGAATCCATGAAATGCATGTGCATGTATGTGCAAAAAGGATTCATGAGCCAAGTTTACCTGAGTTTCGACAGTCAAAACAACAGGATGTTCATATTGGGAAAAATCGATTTGAAGCTCCTGAAAGATTTCAATATACATATCAGTCATTAAGGAAAGGGGTACACAAGAAGCACAGCTTCGATAAACTAATGCACGGTTAAGCCCGTAATTATGTACTCCATTGATGCTATCAGAGTCTCACTTTCATTCAGTAGGTTGTAAAATTAATAAAAATCCATTACAATCAACATAATCAGATACCAACAGAGAAATAGTGCTGAACCCACATTATCTAACCATAAGGATTACAATGCACATTCTTTTCATCCATTCACAGTTCAAATATCTATAAAAGTTCACAACTTTAGCACCAATATTTTAACAACCCAATTGGGTTTTACCCCTCTACTTGCTCAATTCTTACCATGAAAAAACCGAGAATTGAAACCAAAATAATGACAACCCAAATCAAAATTGAAGCGCAAATAATGAATCATAGCCTAAAAAGTAAAAGCACAAAAAAACAAAACTAAAAACTATCCAAGAAATGAACCTTTAAACGAGTAAGCAGCTGGTCTTTGGAAGAACCCATTGTATTGGTCAGTTTCTGCCTCAAAGCTGAAATGAAGGAGAAATGCAAACGAATAGAAATCGGCAATGAGTTTAGATTGGAAGAGGTTTATTTGTTACTACCGCTTACGGGCGATGAGGAAGGGGTTGAGTTGGATTGGGCTTAAACTAGTTGGGTCATGGACCCAAACTAAGGCTGTATTGGGCTTAAATGGGTTTTTCTGTGGGCTTTGGTGAAATTGGATTCATAAAGTAATTAATTGAGTTGGTCCCTAAGTGGGTTGCGTCAATGTAAAAATTTAAGATATTGGATTGGGTTGGATGGGATGAGATAATTAACTTATTTTTACTATCTTTTTTTATAAGATATAATTATTGAGAGAGTGAATTCCAACTAATTTTTTAAGTCAGGGATACATATACTTTATTTATAAGATATATATATATATATTACTTTCTTGAATTTTGAATGTATATTTAATGTTCTTCATAAGATAAATGTCAATATTTGATTGATTTATATCTTTTTTATATGATATAATTCAAGATTTCATTTTAATTAGTGGACAAATAGTTATAAGGATCTATTTGATCTAAAATAAAAATAATACGATTTGATTAAACGTAATAAAAAATTAAAATTTATTTAAAATTTTTTTTATTAACTTATGAACTTTTTTAAGTATCTTATAAAAAGAATACTATAAATCATAAACCAACTAATTAATGGTATCAATTATTATACCAAAAATTCAGAACTGTGTTTCAGCTTTTGTCCTTTACCATAGTTTAGAAATTAAAAAGAAAATGAGGAGCATGAGAGAAATAAAAGCAAAGAAAAACAAAAAATCATTAGTGCAAATATGATGATATGTTTTATAATTAATAAAGATCTCCATTATTACTTTCCCTTGCATTATGTAAATCAACTTAATTACCTTTGTCTTAATGAGTACAAACCCATATCATTGTTGTCACGACCAATGTTGGATCTAACTTCCGGAATAAGGAGCAAGATTCCTTAAAATATGAAAAAGGGAAAGGCAAAAAGGAAAGGATACAGCAATTAATAATAATTAGTCCTCCAAATAAGAAATCAATATTCCTCAATTCCTGTTTTGAGCTGATTACTCCATTTGGCATTGGGTTTGGTCACATTCAGTCATCTCCTTTTCGGTTTTTGACTATATAAACCATTCATGGTACCCTATGATATGAAGGGGCTGAGTATGCATTGGTCAAAACAAAATAAAACCCAAAATTTTGATCTCCAATTTGAGGAGATTATTGAAGAAAATATATAGAAAGGACCATGCATTGTGTAGTTCACCAGTTAAATCAAAAGAAAATGGGACATGATTCATTATCATAAAATAATTCTAAATGTCATGCTACACTTGACAAAAGGAACAATAAACTTTTGTTTGGACATGCAATACTGCAGTGTCCATGACAATTATATCATATATACTTTGAAATGAACAAAATTAATCAGGACATTAATATATTTAAGAATAGCCAAATCTCAGATTGAGTGATCGATGCAATGAACCAACATTAATTTTCCCTCCTAGTCGGGTGCTTCTCCTAAACCACATGATGTGTTGTGAATTTTCCAACACTTAGGGAATTTCCATGGGCTTAACTTCAACAACAACTTCTTCATCATCCCTTGAAGAGGGACCAATCCAAAAGTAGTCAATACCCCATTCTTAATGTAGGAAGATAGGTGGGTCCTCTGAACAAACGCAGACGAAAGTGATGAGCAGCGGCCATAGAGAGTTACAAGAGATCCAAGCTATGAACTGATGGAGGGGGAGCAAATACAATGTAGAAGAAATAATTGGGGATGGGACCCCATGCCTTCCGTTGCACAAGAGGACAGGACATGTGCAATCTGGGCTTCAGCCTACGGTTCAAACTTCAGACACTCGATCAGGTTCAAATATGCCCAGAGTAATAATTTTATGAGTGACCTGACCTATCCATCTTTTGTTTTTTGGTTTAAGAGCTCGATTTGACATATCATTTTTTTGCTGCATCTTATCACAACTTAAGATCCAAGAAAGGAGTTTTGTATTAACAATTTAATTTCTAATTAATCAGTTCTCAAAGAGAAACAAAAAATTTGGGAGTCATCAGACAGGACAGCAGATCACAGTGTAAAAGGGTCGTGCTTCTTATTACTATTATTTTTACTATTTTGTTCTATGGGAAAAATCCAGGGTTCATGGGGGTTTGAATCCGGGCCTATTCCAGCATCTGCTAACCAAGACAAGCCTGGTGGTCAGAGAAGGCGATCACCATGCTTGAAATTTGTCAACTGCAAAGATAACCTTAATTATACGATTTCCCATACGAGTTTACAAGTCTCCGGACAGCCAAAAGTTATTGTGGTCAAGTACAGATTATGTGTTTCTTCCGTCTGTCTACCGCCTACTGAAGAAAGTTTGTTAGTTTTTGTCATGCAACCTAGATAGTTGAAAAAGCTACATGCTATATACCAACATCTAAATCTAATGTAGATTTAGATGTTGTGGTCCATTAATGGAAATTACTACGCTCTTCTTTATGGTAGATAGTGCAAACTGTGAATTTTTTAATAAGAAACAGCAACTACATAGAGTTTCAAGTTTCAACAATCTCTACAGTTTGTTCCTAGTGACACAGACATTTTTTATATTAAACAAAACAAACTGGGCGCTCCCCCACACTTTCCAAGGGCCTGCGAAAAGGAATAGGAATAGGAATAGGAATAGGCATGAAAACCCTAAACATTAGAAGCGATAATTCTTTTTTTGCTTATTTGTTCCGTTACAAAGCTATGATCATTGATAACATTGAATATGACACACTTTGCAACATAGATAAATATGTGGAAATCCCCACTTGAAGTTCCAAAAAAATGTTTCATCTCCGTGTGGATTCTTTTCCTAACTCAAAAATAAACTAAAATATGAATTTTGGTCACTGTCAGTAACATCTTCAAGCAACAATTTGAAGATCATCAATGAATAGGAATAGACAAAAAGAATGGTGTAATGCCTTGACTTTGTTTTTGCTTTGAATTTAATTTTTTTCCCTTAGCAGAAACTCCACAGACGAATATCACCTTCCTCATAAAAATCATCGATCATTGTCGGAGGGTCAAATGAGGCTAAGTTGAACATCTGATCAATATACTTGGGAGAATGCAGGCTGTCCAAGGAGTACCATGGTTCCATCATAGAAATAGGCTCGTCGTTAGCCACAAGAGATTGCATTAGTGACACATCATCATCAACTTGATCAGATGGGGAGGAGGACATTGATGGGGAAGAGACGGATGATGATGATGATATGGAGGGAGGAGATGGAGATATTGGTGGGGTGGTGGCTTTGTCAACAAAACTATTTGCAGCTGCTGCAGCCACTCTTTGTATTGACTTAGGAGACATAACGGTATCAGGAATGTACTGAGAGGATGTAATGGGGAAGTTGAGATTTGCTGAGGAACCCTTGAGGCATAGAAGTGCAGCATCATAGGCTCTAGCAGCTGCTTCTGGTGTAGAATAAGACCCTAACCATATTCTTGTTTTTTGATTTGGAGCCCTAATCTCTGACACCCAGGATCCCCAGCTCCTCATTCTAACTCCCTTGTACTTCTTCTTTTTGCAGGACGATGGTGATGTTGGGGATGTTGATGATGTCATTTGCTTTGATGGCTCTGGTTGGATCTTGTGCTCAGTCTTCACCATTGGCAAGGAGCTATCAAGAAAGATCAAACAGTAGAACACTGAATATCAGTCTTCACTTAATTTGCAATCAATACTTTGGTGAACAAATGGTAAGCAGAAGACTCAATCAATGCTTTGCTGGGGCTGTCTGTACGTGTTGATGAAGGATCAATGCTTCGATGAGAAAAGGATTCAAATGCTTTCGTAGCTTTTGCTTTTGGCTCTTGTTCTTTTAAAAGTGATGAAAGGAATGAGATGAAAAACTGAATGTGGGGAGAAAGAAGGGTGCTGGTATTTATAGATGGGGGACTTGAGTTTTTAAAGTTGGAAGATCCCTTGGTCAATCAATATGGCTCCACATATGAACATGAAATGGCTGACAGATATTTCTGCTTTATATAAATGGAAAACTAGATATTACTTGCCTGCCTTTTAAAAATGTCTTACTGCTGCTCCATGGTAAAACCCCAATACCCTGTGTCTGGTGTAATAAATATTTTCTACCAAACATGTGCAAGAAAATTTTAGTGATTAATTAATTGCAGAGAAGAAATGTCAATTGCCAAACCACACTCAACCTGCCTGTTGATTAGACGAGGGAAGATTAAGGGAACACAAATAGGTAGTAAATTAACAAATTACAGCTAGAAAGCGTTTTTGAATAATTCAATACCTCATCATTGTAGACCAGTTACTTGTTAGACTTTCTGTGGATAGATTTAACAGCCAGGGAGATCGAAAAATCTAACATGCTATGATTTGAAAGTTTTTACAAGTGAAGGATTCAAATTAATGTTCAATCTGACTCTATCGGGAGGCAGTTGATTAAAAGGACTAAGAGTTCAGCTTCAAAGTCTACAATTAATTCCACAACACAACCCTGGCTAGCTAGCTGCATGCTGTAACTTGTAATTGAAACGGCTGTTGAATTGAATCTTATTGTAGTCAGGAACTCAAAAGACTGGCAAAGAAATCTCAATAGGTGAAATGGCTGTTTCTAGAGTTCCCTGACTTACCTAGCAAGTCACCCCGCCATCCCCATTTGACACCCAGCAAATACACAATAAAAAACTGGACCAAGTAATATATAATTTACCAGTTTTTCTGTTCATGTCATATCCATATATTAGGCTGATCGTATCTTGCGAAGATAGATTATTTATGGCAAAAACCATTTGTTTATTTGATAGACTAATGTGAGTTGGAGAGAAGGAAGAGAGAGAGAGAAACATAGGATTCTTCAGAGGCAACTTCCAGGATCTGCAGTGACATTATTTTTAATGAGCTTTTTTGGCTGGGCTGTGATTCATAAAATTAAAAGAAAAACAATGGGTATTAATTAAGTATTAACGCAACACTCAAGAGACGCGCAGTCTAAATAGTAGTACTAAGCCATTAGCCACTGCTTATATATAAAAACAAAACAAAAAACAGAGAGAAGGAGAAAAAAAAACCAGCTGTTGCTGCTCTGTCTCGCAGCTCTAAAACCGCGTCTCTTGGTCCTCATGCAACTGCAAAACTCTCACTGTCTCTCTCTTTAAAGTCTATAGAGATCAATTAATAAATAAATTAGGAAAAGTAGACACATCTCTCAACCGTTTCATGGTGTTTTGCTTAGCTGCTTACGCCTCCATGACTTGACTTTGTCCCCAAGTTTCTAACCTCACTCCTGGTACACACTTTAAACACTTTTTTTTATTCTTTGAGAAATTCGAGGGGATTCTCTTCTGGTACGGCAAAACCAAAATCAACTACTGGTCTACTACTGCTTGCTTTTCTTTTTCTTTTTTTTTACTCTTCTGCTCATATTTAACTCTTTGGAAAATGCCCGGGGCACATGCGTTGAAGTTTGAAACACGCCCTTTTTAAGGGACAAAGTAGCCTTTTCCAAGTTGGGCCAATGGACCGTAATAGGTATAGTTGATTAGTTTCACACCTGGGGATGGATGAGCCAAAGTTTGTGTAGTAGTATGCATTTGCTGCAGAGTATGTTTTGTCAACTTTCCAGCACACAGTTGTTGCCATTGTCAGGCAAATGGGCAATGATGCCTGGCAACGTGCAAAGAGTGCCCCCCTCCCCCCAACAAAAAAAAAAAAAGAGTACACAAAGTTCCAATTAAAGGGTCACCAAAAGCAGGCTCTTTTGACAGAAGGATAAGAAACTGTTCGTAATAATAATGGCAATAATGCGTAAATGAATACACATTCTGATAAACAGTAAAAGAGTAACACTCCATTTTGGTCATGACTTCCTAGTGTTCTCCTACTACTTGCTAATCTGCATATATCTTATGCGTTAAAAATTTCACATTCAAATATTTCGTAAAGAAAAGGGCCATAACAGACTGAGAGAGAGAGATGTTAGTATTTTGTATACCAAAATGCTGTTTCCAATGATAATTCATGTGTGAAAAGAATAGTGTCGTCAATCGTACAATGCTGCTTCTCTCCACCCTCCTTCCTTCCCATTGCCACACTTGGGAACACATAATAAAATCTACAAAATGAGCTAATTTAGAAGGCATCTGTTTCTTAAAATTAGAGAGCATTGTCGTAAATTAATTGCGAATTATTATATATGGTATATGTATTCGATCAGGTGCTGCTGCTGGCACTCCTATTCGAGATAAGCAACATGCATTTTAAAATAATTTTCCTTCACATGTTCAGGCCATCCTCCCTCATTTCTTTATCTTAAATTTGTCAGAAATTTTAGGAATGTAACAATGGCTTAGTTTCTTGGAAATGAGAAGGAAATTTCATTTCCTATAGTGGCCTGTGCAGCTGAGATGGTGCACTGCAGTTTGCAGCAGCACAAAGACTATGGTTCAATTCTAGCCTGCCAACAAAAAACTGTTGAATCCAGTTGGAAATGGGAGCTTTTTGTTTACTGATATTAATGTTTTGGGCAGTGTTATACCCAATGAGCTGTTTCAACTCTGAAAATGCTTGAAACTGGATCATTCAACTTTCGGATACGCGGTCTTTTGCTCTTTAATCTTTTGTTTTTACTCTTTACAAGATGTCTGCATTTCTTTTTCGTTACTCCAACGGTAGAAAATCACATCATACCATTCATTTACAATTTCAGAACACGCCATGGACATATTTGACATCCTACAATGCAACTTTCTTTCATCTAATTCTACCTATTACTAGAGCTTAACCTTTCAGGCTAACTTAGGATGCAACAACGGCACATGACAGTTAAACATAAAAAATCTTAGGAATGAGATGTTAAGTATGTTTGGTAACTCATTTTCTGTTGATATTTATAGGATTTTCGATCATTTTTGTATGATTTTATAGTTTTCCTTTGTACAATCTCTCAGATCAAATCCTTTATGAGGGCAATTCAACTTCCTTATTTTCATGTCCCAATCACATCCACTCCAACATTTTTGTGTATGAATGCCAGCAAAAGAAGGAAAAAAGAAAATCTCGTCTGCGGGCACTGTGAAGTGCAAGAAAGTCTTGTACTCAGATGTGGTAAGGCAGATGTACAAATTTGTCCTACAGCTTTCTCTACCTTACAGACTCACACTCGGGTCCCTACCTGATATAATTAAACAGCAATGCCATAAATGAAGATTCATGCTTCTCCTCCTTTCAAGTCTCATCAAATATTCTATCTACTCGTGAAATTATCTTTACAAGATTTATTCTCTTTGATTGCTTAACTGGCATTGACATTGCCGTACCCCATAACCTTTCCGTACCGGGTGCTTCGAGGAAGGTGACAAGGAAATAATGAAATCTGCATTAAAAAGCACTAGAGCCTTGGCCAACTGGAAATTAGGACCAAATTGGCAGTAATAGTGAAATGCGAGTGAATGGGATAAGGGGGAGGATGGGCGAAAGTGCTGAGAAGGTTTTCAAAGGTTGAAGTATGTTGGATGATAGAGAGGCAAGATCCATGTGGGTTAGGGCCTTGGAAAGAATCGAATCCTTCCTTTTCTTTTGATAGGAGGATAGAGAAACTTCCCGGAAAATAAGGTTTCATGAAGGTATCATTATCAAATCTACAACAACCACCATATCCAGAGTGATGGCTCACGTAATGCTTATACTAGATAAATCGTTTCTTTGTGTGTGTAATTAATAAACAATCCATGGGGTAAGGGAGTTGTTGACTTGAAAGCTGGAGAACAAAACCCTTCATGGGATGTGTAGATTTCTTTATTTAATGAAAAATATGCAGTTCAACAACTTCTATTTGTATCATAAATACGGGCAAATTGTACAGAAATAATGGAAAATGTGATAAGAGTTAATACAGCTGCATCCCATTGATAGAGCAGCAAGACCTTGAAAGTTTGACTGCCCCCATGCTGCAGAGAACTCTGTTTTTCCTATAACAAGGGTTTAACCCTTTGTATGTTTACGAGAGAGATGTATCCATTGTTTTAACTATTATAATAATAAAGAAACAGATCATTTTATGGAAAATTGAAGAAGCCAAGCTAGGAAAAGAACCCGGGGAGAAACTCCAACTGGTAACAAGAGGAGGCTTGACGACAGCACAGTATTCATTCACGAAATGAATATATACTCTCCTTTTTAACTAATTTAGTTTATCCTTTCATAATCAAGTGCATTACATCCAGGACATTGACCAAATTAACTATTTGTTTTACTAATTATCCTAATTCTTTTTTATCAACTTGAGTTGTGCTAAGAATGCCATATTTTGTTCTTTTTTTTTT